ATCACACCCTTAATGCATCTCACCACACTCTACATTTCCTTTGGCATGCTATCCATCTGTCTAATGGGCCAGTAGGGTGCGGCCGGCTAGTCATCACTTATGCACGCTGCTTTTGTGTGTCTGTGTGTATTTGTACAGTCATGTATCTTTCTCTTGACCTGTGTCATTTGAAATTTTGTGCTGATGAGTCTGTTTTTGTGTTAGCTGTGTCTTCAAGTTTAAATCACCCTCCTGTTCACACCCACTTCTGCACTCTCTTCATTGTGTGTTTGTGCCATTTGTAAATGCTCCATGCACTGGAAGTGTGTAGATTGTGTATCTGAGGGTGTCAGTGCCTGTGAACTCTAACTGCGTCACCCATTAAGCTATTATGGACTGTAACTGAATCCCCCTGAAAGCTCAGCTCATGCCCACAGCTGCAGGGCAGTGATGGATGGATGGTGGAGGGATGAGAGTAGTCTTGCTGTAGCCAAACAGTTGTAAAAACAAACAGAGGGGTGGAGCATCTGGAAAGTTGTGCAGGAGAGGTGGAGGGCGTCTAAGGTGACCGTCACTGTAACAAGCTGAGCTGACTTATGATCAACGGTTTCGACCTCACTGCCCTGCTCTAAGCTGAGTCATGAGTCTTAGTGAGAAGAAGAGGGTTGTTCTTCTGGGTTTTTTTTTTCTTATTAAGGTGTGTGTAAACGCGAGTGTGTCTAATCATGGATAATTATTACACTTTATCTCATGTATATATCGGCTTTTATTCAGGAAATACAACTCAAGCAGCTGGCTGACAGCTGGAAAACTGCAAAACCCACCCAGGATCTACATGTGCCACCAGGTTGTCTGAGGGTGGGTTTTGTTTTTACAGCTATAGTTTGTTTATGCTGGTCCAAAAGAGTTTGCTAATGAGTTTGTAAGCTTGTAGATCCGTGTTGACCAAAATGCATCACTATAAGCCCCATTAGAGTGTTCAGTCCACTTATTGGCCAGATGTGTTTGGGGCAGGACCAACAGTAAAAACAGGAAGATGAGCTATTGGAGATTTTCCATTCATTTCATGGCTAGTTGCTAGCCCGTACAGACATTTGCACATCTACTGTACTTTGCATGCAAGAATGAAAAGCATATGTGCCTAGGGGAAAGTGTTCATCTCAAACTTGCAACGTACACATGGTAGTTGGGTCAAATCGACATAAGATCACATTCACGCTGTAAAAGAACCTCGTCCACGAAAAAGAACCTCGAAAAAAAAGTATTAGTGCTGGTGGGACTAAAAAAACGATTCCTGAATTTTCAGCTCAGTAAAATATTTATATGTGGCATTAATATGAACCCTAGTCTATCATCACCATTCATTTCTAATGTGCAGGATGTTGACACTCTTCCAGCTGGAGTATCTTCAGGTTTCTGCAGCAGCTGTGCATAACAAAGCTTAAATTCTTGTAAAAAATGCCAGGATGCATGTGTGATACGTGAGCTCATCAGCTCACTGGTTAGCACTGTTGCCTCACAGTAAGAGGCTCCTGAGCTCTGCCGTGTGGTGGTTGCATGTTCTCCCCATTGCTTGCCTAAGTGTTCCCATCACTGAAAGACAAGCTAGGTTAATGTGCTTGTGTGGGTCCAAGATTTTCACTTCCTTGTTACATGAAAGCAAATAAAATTGGCAAATGGTGGTGTCGAATTCAATGTCATGAGGTGAAAGAAAGGTGTCTGTCTTGAAAATGTGATGTGATGTGTTGTGGTGCATGAAATAAGGACTTAAATGTAGGAAGGGGAATCACACAGAAGAGGGTGGGAGGGGAGCAAGCTGAATCATTCAAAGGGCAAACTGCAACCAAAGAAATAAAATCAAAATACTATTTATTGGCTAATCAGGAGAGAGGAAAAAAATAGATACTGGAGAGTGTAATGATGTAGTTGGAGACAGTGACACAGGAGGGAAGTAAAACTAAACACAAAGACAGAGCAAAAATAAGTGAATAAAAGATTTAACAGAAGAGGAGACTAATAACTCTACAAATGCAAACATAAACAAAAGTATAACAAGAACTAAAGGCTCATAATAGTTTGTAATAAACAAAAACCTAAACTACAAAATAATGAACTAAACAGAGAACCAGGATTAAATCAGGGGCATAATGTCCAGAAGATGGACCCACACAATGTGCATGTTGCCCCAGATGTGATTGTAATGAGTTTCATGCAAAAATGAGAACCACCAGGGAAAAAATCCCTTTAACAGAGGTTGGAACTGTAAAGTAAATGATCATAAAGCTGGAAGATAAGAAAGAAATAAAGGACTTGGTGAATAAAAATGTTATTTCATGGAACAAAGATATCGATCAGAATCCAAAACTTGCCAAAAGAAAAAAAAAGTTGAACAAACTCTCTGACAAAGACGGGGTTTCGGACGATGCACGGACACACAGGCACACTGAGGGTAATCAAGGGAATCGAAAACAGATGGGGAACAAGAAAGCTGAAACTAATCATGACAAGTGATACAAAGGACGTAAAATGAAATACAACCTTCAGGAGACCTTTATTACTGTCAAAATAAAACAGGAAGTAACTGCACAGGAAATGATTAACACTGATGAAGACAAGATTAAACAAGATGGTGTAAGGGAGGTAAGCATAAGCTAAACCCAAATAAAAATCCCAACACAATTACTGAACAAACACAAAATTTGATAAAGAAAGATTAAACTAAAACTGTGTGTTATAGTTTGCTCCATTAAAAATATCTCATTTTAAAGGAAGCTCTAGTGTATCCTCTATTAAATTCCTTAACCTCCTAAGACCCAAACTCGTTCATTGCATGCATTTTTAATTTCTCTTTGCTATTTGGGCTGATGACGATGTATAAAAACAAAGAATTGTCAGATTTTTTTTAACCTAATTTTTGTTTCTGAGAAAAATCTGATCTCCCTATGAGGACATTCACTTTAAATTTTGATACAACAGTGGCAGTGTAATGTCTTTGTAAGTGGATATCAGGCCCTTGTAGGGCAAAATTTTGTAGTTTGGTCTAGACAACCCAAAATGTGATGTCCACATATGTGGACGGCAGGTCCTGGGAGGTTAATATTTAAAGTGTTCTTACGACAAGTTAAAACGTCTGCTATTTGCTGTGTTGAAGAAAGAAAGAATATACTTGGATTGATTTTATACATCTGAATGACAAGGATCTGTGTGTTACACTGGGCCTGGGGTTGTGACTACATGTGAAGGTAATCATGGTCAGTGAGCCTGCACTACCATTTTTAATACAGAAATACATTTTCCTGTTCCCCAAAAGTTGATTCTGTTCATCTGGATGCAGCGTTTTCAGTGGGAGAAACGTTTCGTCACTCATCCAAGTGACTTCTTCAGTCTTCAGACAGTCTGCAGCATGGTGGCTGCATCCAAGTGACTTTCTTGAGCCTTGATTAAATAAAACTCCAAATAACAGGATGCCATTGGACAGGGATAAAAGGAAGCAAAATGCTTTGATGTCATTTATGTTTGATCTACTTGTAGTAGCAGTTGATGAACCTATTCGAATTGCTATTTTTCTTTTCAGTTTTTGTGTTGGGGTTAAAACGGATTTCCTTTAAGGTTGGAGAAGCCTGCAAAGCACCTACCAGACACGTGCAAATTCAACCACTAAATACCAAAAACAAATCGATTGTTATTGAATTTGTTCGTCCCCTGATATCCACAATGAATTATTTAGTGTTTTGCAATTTGTGTTGGTGATGGGTGACGTGTGTGTGTGTGTGTGTGTGTGTGTGTGTGTGTGTGTGTGTGTGTGTGTGTGTGTGTGTGTGTGTGTGTGTGTGTGTAAATGACGGATTTCCATTAGTGCCACACATTTCACAAAACCCTCAGACCCTGCGGCTTCAGCTTTTTGTCTCACACACAAATAGTAGTTTAAGGGCCACTGGCTGCTTTTAACACGCTCCCCCTCCTAATCCTCGCCCTATGACTCCCATAGGCCTCACCTTTCCTACTCATGCATCATCTCTTCCTCCCCTCTCTCTCCATCACTTACTCCTGACTCACCCTGCCTCCCGGCTAACAGTCCATGACTCATGTTATTCACAGAGCTGTCTGCGTGTCAAGGGCTCGGAGGAAAGGGGCAGGATGGGGAGGTTAAAAAGGAGCTGGATCAGGGAGGGAGTGCTGAGGCAGATATGACTGTGGAAGCACAACGAGAGACAGAAGGAAATCACTTTTGATCTATCATCAGATAGATTAAGACACTGGCAGAGAGGGAAGGAGTGATGGGGTGGGGGGGGAGGGAGGAAGTGAAACCGCGAGTGGTTGTGACCACCAGAGGAATTGTTTGAGTGATCAAATATCTGAGCAATCAGCAGGCGTTTAAAAGCTTTGGTGGACTAAAAGCTGTGTGTGTATATGTGTGTGATTTTTGTCCGTGTGTCTTTGCTAATGATGTTATTCTGATCTCAGAGCTGCAGAGAATTGCTGTTGCAATCTGTGGGATAGATTACTATAGTCCTTTTCTCAAGCGTTCCACTTTACTGCTGTTTTCAGCTTGCTGACTTTAATGCACTCACTTTCTGCCCTTCTTTTGTTTTCCTGCGGCCCTCAAGATTTAGAAACAACATAAAAAGTTAAAGGAACAAGTCGAAAGCTTCCTCGTAGCGATCAGTGCATTTTTTTCCCCATGTTCTTGTATTTTGCATGTCGAGCTCAGCGATGCTGCTCTCCTGCCCCAGGGCTCAAACTGCTTGGACGACTTTTTGTGTCTTCTCTACACTGTGAGACATTAGAACCGGCTATTTATAGTCCGCCCCGAGGAAGCAGTGTGCAGGATAAATTTCATTGTGGCTCTATTAAAAGGAACAGAGTAAGATGTCAGCAAAATCTCCCCGTCTTTCTTTTTCACTTGGGGGACACACATGTGGTTTAATCTTCTCTAAACGAGACAAAATGTGTTTGGTTGGACAAACTAAGGCAGAAAATGTTTATGAACCACTAACTAGTTCCTGTCTTCCTCCTCACAGCTTGTCTGTTGCAGTCCGAGCTGGTAAACTATGAGAGAGTGAAGGAGTACTGTCTGAAGGTCCTGAGCCACCAGAGAGACCACTTCAAGGCCATGTACCGAGCCGGCATCGCCTTCTATCACCTGGGTGATTACGAATGTGCCCTACGCTACCTGCGTGACGCCAAAAACCGCGAACCCACAGGTGAGAATGACCCAGTGTATTTATACATTTACAAAGCAGCCTTGAGGTACAAGATCTTCTCTGATGGTGAAACAATGTGCTCACCTGTAGCTCCATATTTAAATTGATGTACTCTGACCTTAGTGCAGCTTATCAGGTCATCCAGTTGTCTCATGATCTGAAACTTGAGGCATGTTTAATATTAGCGTCAACATTTATGACAGGAAAAATCAAAAAGCATAATTGGTACAGTTCTCCTGCTAGATTTTATTTGTTATGTTACAAACTGAGTGATAACTAAAGCCTTTTGTTCCGAGAGTGCTGAGCAGAAACTAAAAAGATGCTCTCTGTGTTTCTAAAACCTGTATTACTGTACAGACTTTAAAAGACTTCCTGTTTTGCATGTTTGCTTTGACTATGCACATTTCCAAAAAGTTCAAAAGCACAGCTACACTTGTATTAAAACTGCTCCATATTTTACATCAGTATGCTTTCATGATAAATTATACTGCAGACGGCCAGTATTAAATTACTTTAGTGTAAATGAATTAAGTAAAGTACATAAGTGATATGTGTAAGCAGCACATTGTGTTTTATAGTCTGTTTATTTGAAAGGCAAGAGGGGCAGATTTGTTTTATGAATACATTTTATGTCTAATGTTTAGGATCCAGATGCAAAAGCCACAGGAAACCAGTCTAAACAGCAAAGACACATGTGCAGATGTTCACAGGCTTCGTCCACACGTACATATTTCATTTTGAAAAATATCTTTCTTCACATGAATCATGACAAAAGTAGGTCCACAGACATTGCAACCCACAGTCTGACATCAGAAAAGTAGGTGAAGTCTCACACCTTTGATATTAAAAGAAATCTTTTTCTTTGTCCACATTTGAAAATCTTCCACTCCCCTGACTCTGTAGGTTTTCCAGAAATACTCATGTACATGTGGACAGCACAGCAAACCCAAATGGAGACTCACAGCTTTTTTTTGGCTGCTGATGATGGTAGTGTTCAAAATAACAAGGGCCATGAAAAGGAGACTCAAACTAAATCCACAGTACTTCAGAAGGAGGATGGAAACACAAGAGACCACTATCAAAACAAAACAGGGGGGGGAGCTACAAACCAAAACTAGCATGTGTTATGATAATGATAAAAGCCAACACAAGACTCTGATCTTCAGATACCAGAAAACATATTAACCAAGAATAAAACCCGAAAAATGTAACCAGAGACGGTAAGAATTAAGTAAATATCCGCTTGGCATCTTTCTTGGCCTTAAGACAACAATTCTGATGGCTAAAGATCCAAACAGGACACAAAAAAAAAAGAAAAAAAGAAAAAAAGAATTAAGCAAATATGCCGTCTCAGGAAAATGCTAGAGGGGCCACTTTCTTGACTAAATCATAGTATGAGAAGCACATGCAACAGAGGCAACATGCTTGGCAGCAAATGCAGCTCCTTTTTTTTAATATCAAAGAGTGAGTGTGCACATGCAGGTGTGCACCTCTGTGTTCATTACGTGCTAGCTGTAGGACACGTGGCATTAGGAGCTCTAGTAGATTTTTGTATGAATTTTTGCTGTGGATACATTTGGAAGGATATTTTTCTAAAATAGGAGGAAATAGATCGTTTTCACTTTGGGAAACAGCCTTTTTAATGCCTTTGCTCAATCGATATATTCCAGGAACACGAAAGTTTTCAATTCACCTTGTAAATCTGGGATTACCAACAATTTGAGAACTCAAAATGAGAACTAAAATGATAATCATGACCAAGTTTGAGCCAAATGTCTCATATGACAAAATGACAAAAGGTTGAAGGTCAAATCTGGATAAACTTGAATTGTTTGGAGAACTTTATCCAATAGGAAAGTGTCAAAAGGTGAGAGGTCAGGGTTCTTTCTCGTCATCGATGAGCAGTTACAGCTGACTAAAGTAAAAGCCTGTAGCTCTTTTCTCTACATTGTTTACCTTTCTGCTGTAGCACGTCTTTTACTCAGTTTGCTAAACTTAAGTAAGAAAGGGGCAACCGACTGCTCTGCTGCCAGTGCTCAGAGCATCCACCGATGACCTGTCGTCCCATTTTCTCTCTGCAGACACCAACGTGCTCCGATACATCCAGCTGACAGAGATGAAGATGAGCAAGAGTGGACAACGGGAACGAGACAGCGGCAAGGAGACCCAGGGCTAACCTTCGACCTTTCCCCCCTCCTGAACCCTCTGACCTTTCATCCTACAAGTTGTACCTCCCACTCTCCACTTTCTCTTCCTCCCCTGTTGACTCCTCCTGATGGCAGCCCTGTCAGAAGAGACGCAATCACCTGCCTGTTACAGACAAACACATATCAAGCGCTGTCTGCGACCCACCCTCTTCCTTCTTCCTCTCCCTCTTCTTCTCCCTCTTTCTCCCTCAGGTGCTGTGGTTCCTCTCCCTCGACGCAGTCAGCAAGGAAACTTTAAAAAAAAAAAGAAATATCATGAAAATACATGGAAGAAGCTGTAATATATACTCATACAAACCCATCATTGTGGTGGAGTCAAAACGAAGCTTCAGCCCATACACATGACAGACAGACATCTGCGTGATTCAGCAGATGTTTAAAAAACATGGAAAGCATTTTGTTTCTGCTCTCTCGCGCTCTCTTTTTCTCTCCGTTTTATTCTGAACTCTCGAGGAGAATTTGGGGGGTCTCGGGAAGCTCGACCACACCGGGAGGAGGGCAGGGATGCGTGTGGAAGTGTGTGAAACAGGTTTGGAGAATAAAAATGGGTGCGGTGAGGCGGTGTATATGTGTATGAGACACATGCCAAGACCACATCCCGATTTGATTGTACATCCTAACCCACCAGGTCTCACTCAGGCCACTTACCCAGACTCTGAGATGGACTAATATAACAAGTAGAAAAAAAAAGCCTGCCTCTGTGCTTAATCTATCACTTTTCTGTCTGGATTTTTCTTTCCTAGATCCCTTCTATCTCAGTTTCTTGACTGTTTTTTGAATTTAAGGGCTAATTCAAGTGTTTAAAACCCCGTATTAGGTTTTTTTAATTTGCTGTCATACTCAGTAGTGAACAATCGGTGGTTAATAGCATCTGTGTGTGCAGCAAAGAGCCTAAATTCTCCAAGCGGTTCATTCCGTTGCCTGATGTACTTTCGTGCAAACTGGTGTGTCTTGAATCTGTTGTCCGAACCCCCTCCTGGGTCGTGTGTCGTGTTACTGTTGTTGAGACTGTCGAAGCCCCTCCCTCGCTCCCTCGCTCCTTCTCATCAATTCCACCATCCTCTGTTCTCCTGTTAATGATGTCACAACGGAAAATAGCCAGTGAGATCAGACTTCCATCAGCTGCCGCTGGCTAGATGGAGATCCACGAGAAATTTTTTTCAGAGAGAGAGAGAGAGAGAGACACTTTTATCCTTTTATCACTAATGCTGAGGCTTCCCAGACATCCATAAACCACCACGGAGACTCTGGGCAGCGTTAGTGCAGGGAAAACGCACACACACACACACACACACACACACACACATCTGGCCTGATGGTGCAGACTGCCGTCTTGGAGCACTAGAGTGAGTCATTTGAGATTTCTCCTGCTTACAGTTTACTGTATGTTGATAGATTAAAACACCTGTGCCGGGCAGATAACACACAACATTAGCATTGCAGACGATCTGGTTTGTGGATATCCATTACAAGCTGTCAAACTTATCTTGTGACGTGTGAAGCTGAATCATTGATATGTGGCTTTTTATAATAGCTTTACCACAGGCTTAAATCTGCCTGCTCTGTTCTGCAGAAGGCTGGATTTATCTTTTGTGAGAGCATGACCTAAAATATCCCGTGAAAACCCAGTTTCCTCCTTATCATGTGCAAGCCCACCTCCTGCATGTAACATGCGGCTCCAGAGCGTTGCTTCAGATGTTTTGGGATTGGGATTATATCTGCTCTATTGCTTTCTGTCATGGCATGCTGCCACTCAACTGTTTGCGTATACCTCTGTTTTATCCATTCTGCCCTTTATAAACACAGAAGGTGGCGACAGACTGTGATCACAGCAGCAGAATAGGTATGAAATACTTCTTCAAAATTAGGGTCACCTTCTGCCTCGACTAAAATAACTGATTAGTCCACTGCTTAAGAGGCTGAGGAGGAAATCAAGTCAAATAACGGCGCTGGGTGAGCCCCCCCCCCCCCTTTCCCCGTTTATTTCATTGACCTGCTATGAGGTAAATAGGGACCTAAGTGTGTCAATGGGACTCTGGAGAGACGGCACCACGCGCTGGAGAGACCGGCATGAAACTGAGAGGCTCCGGTGGAGGGAGAAGTAGGCCATCATCAGCCCCACTAAAGCAGCTGCACCTCTAAATTGGCAGCAAAAAGCAAGTTTTGAGCTTATTTATCATCATACACTGCACTTAGAAAAAGTGTGTGGACACCTGAGCATTAATCTGCAGCCTGAGTTTGCTCCCATTCAGCCACGAGATCATTAATGATGTTGGGCGACGACAAGGCCTGGCTCACAGCCGACGAGGCGTTGGATGAAAGCGAGGTCTCGGTCTGCATTGTTGTGCAAGCTGTAGAATAAGAAATGTAGCAGCAGCGTGCACCAGATCATGAAAAAGCCAATCAGACGTGCACAATATAAACCTCTCTGAGGAACGCAGGCAAAAGTGATCACATAAGCATAAACATGGCTGTGGCTCAAGAGGTAGAACAGGTCATTCACTAATTGAAAAATTAGTGGTTCAATCTCTGCCTACTCTAGTCAGCACGCCAAATCCCAAGTTGCTCTCTAGTGTGCACATCAGCGTGTGAATGTTAGATAGAAAGCACATAGACACAAAGGTGAGCGGATGAATCCAAGTATTGATACCAGTGCTGTTATTGGTAAAGGATCGATACTTTGTTTCTCTCCTTTTCAGTAAATAGCCTAACAAATAATTATTTTTTGGGAGATTAAAACATACACCTTAAACATGCACTATAAAAAATGTCTGAGCCTTTTCGTGCTGACTATCACATCTATTTTATTTACAGCCTGAAGCACATTTAAACAACAGAAGTTGAACCAAAGTGCTTTAGAGACGACCACATTTACATTCCAGCTCTCCAACAAACACAGTTTCAAAATACCTGAAAGGCTGCAAGGTGATTTAGTGGTCATTAAAATGTGTTTGGAATTTGCAAAGTGACAATGATCCATCTCATAAATCACAACACACCGCTTTAGCCCAAATAAGCTGCCTTTATAGGCTAAAACGATCGATATCAGTATTGGTATCTGCAATACTGGCCCTGTATTTCCTTGGTATCGGATCGATACCAGAATTCGCAGCAGAGCACAGCACTACTTCGACATAGATGCAGGATTTATGTCATAATTATAAAAAATATAAACATTTACATGCAAGGCTGTCCACATATTTTTGTCCACATGTTGTGGGAAATTGTCTGATTAAGTTTAAGGTTCTGTTTAAGACTCCATCTCTGAATTAGTGCCACGATCAGCAACGCTGCTGCAAAGTGTGAAACATTTGATTTGTATTGGTGTCGTGCAGCTCTGGGGTTAATTAGGATGAAAACACTGAATGCAGAAGCTTTCCTTGCTCCTCCTTTATGCTCTCTCTTGGAGATAAATCACCACAACAGCAAGGAACGGCACCTGCAAGCGCCATCTCCATAACTACCTTGGCCGAGTCCCCTCACCCAGGGGTCCCCTCGAGGATCGGTCTCCTCCCGTGGTCCGCTCTCCACGGCACCAGCCCCCCCCCCTCCCCCTTCCATCTTGTTTTTGTCTTGCAGTGCTAAGTCATTCTTGCTCAACTTGTACTACTGTACTACGACCGTCTAGGGATTCCTAGCTGCACATAAAACAGGATTGTTTCTAGCTGATTGGTTTCCTTGATTAATGACCAAGCTGACTCGGAGGCTGTTATCGTAAGCATAACCTGACAACATGCTGTCTGTGCAAATGGAGACGGAGACGCCGGATCTCTGCGTCTGTGTAGCTTTGAAAACTAACAAAAAGCACAACAAAAAAGAGAGACGGGAAAGTGAAAAAAAAAATACTGGCTGTGTTACTTTATTTTGGCTATTTTTACTTTGATGTCATTTAAGGTAAATGTTTGTCAAATGTCAAAGTAGTTTTTGTGAATATATGATACAAATGTACAAAAAAACAGAAAAATGGAAAGTTTTATGGTTGTGAAAAGCTTTACTTCACTAAATTACTTTATCAGCGGCAAAGAAAAGCAAGAGATAGAAAAGAGAATTTAACTACAGCTCCTTCACTGAGCTGCTTTGTGACTGTGTCTGTATTTGTTGGTATTTCTGTTGATGTCCTTCAAGTCGAGGGATACAGAAACAGCTCGGAGTATGTGCAACGCCCTTTGACTGTCTGACTGACGGTTCACCCAACTATTCTGTTTCTGAACAGCGAGACGAGCAGTAAACACAGGCGTGGATGACACTCTGAGGAACTTGGACCAGAGCTGCTTCTCAAAGCTGCAGGCCTCCATCCTACCTGAAGGGACACAAGGCTGGGGTGTCCAGGCTAAAACTGTGTTTTTGTCTCTCCTCGCTGCCAAGAGGCCTTTCTCTTTTTCCCCTTTCAACTTTCAGACATCCAACAGGCCTCCATCACTGGTTTTACTGAACTGCTAGCCTGGGAATGCACTATTGATTGGTAAATGAAGATTATGAATAAAGTTTCAAACAAAGAGGAATGTTGCTGTTGTGTGGTTGTGACTTCATCTAATTTCAGATAAAACTACACAGGTAGGACTCTGGAAAAGGTAATAATTTGTAAATGAAATGTAGCCATGTGTAGTAACATGTGGACGCAGAAGACAAACAGACCGTGAAGCTGAGCTGAAGAGAAGTTCATGACAAATAAGGTCTAGTAAGGTTGAAGAAAAGCATTTAAAAGTATAAAGAAGATCAGAAGGAGATGCTTTGTGCCTTTCTGGATCTAAAGAAAAAAATGATAGTGTGCCAAGAGAGTAACTGTGGTAATAGTGAGGTCGTCAGACATGGAAGACACATATATTAGGGTGGTGTAGGACATGTATGAGGACAACAAGACAGTGGTGAGGTGTGCGGTAGGAGTGACAGATGGGTTCAAGGTGGAGGTGGGTTTCCATTAGGGATCAGCTCTGAGCCTTCACAGTGGTGATGGACAGGGTGACAGATGAAGTCAGGCAGGAGTCTCCATGGACTATTATGTTTACAGATGACATTGTGATCTGGGGTGAGAGTAAGGACCAGGTGGAGGAGAGTCTGGAGAGGTGTAGGTATGCACTGGAGAAAAGAGGTGTGAAAGTCAGTAGAAGCAAAACAGAAAACATGTGAGAATGAGAGCGAGACAGGTGTAACAATGAAGCTGCAAGGAGTAGTGGTAGTAAAGGTAAATGAGTTTAAATACCTGGAGTCAACCATCCAAGCCAAAGGACAGTCTATGAAAGAGGTAATCAAGGTGATTGTGACAGAAGGATAGCAGCATGCTGGATAGGATAGAAGGACAGATGTACGTTTGAAGGTGGTGGCAGGATTAGAAATGAGTGCATCAGTGGGACAGCTCAGGTCAAACAGCGCGGAGATGAAGTAAAAGAGACGAGACTGACATGGTTTGGACACATGCAGAGGAGGGATGTTGAAGATGGAGCTGCCAGGCAGGAGGAAAACTGAGAGATTTGTGGATGCAGCGAAGGAGGGTGGTGTGACAGAGGAGGATGCTGTGGATAAGGTGAGATTGGAGGCAACTGATCCACCAGGGCAGCCCCTAAAGGGACCAGCTAGAAGAAGAAGAAGAAGAAGAAGAAGAAGAGCCCTTATTCAAAAAAGCTGCTGAGACTCTCTGATGCCACAGTTTAGTTCACCCCACACTCTGACTCACCTGCACAAATAACTTATTCTACTGACCCGACTCATGATGCAAAGTGTGAGTCATATTTACCAAAAATGCTTGTTAAATCTAACATTATACATTTCTCAAACCTAATTTAATCTAATGCATGAGGCCTACTTACTGTAGCCGAGGTGCTGCAATTGTAGTGTTACAGTTTGGTTTTAAAAAAAAAAGCATGGACGATTTATTTAGGCTTTCATAATTATCACAATAATTACCTTGATTAAAATTATTATGGAGTGCGCCTAGGCTCTGCTTTGACCTCTGATGTGTTGAAAACATGAGGCTGTGAGCAGGGTAAGAGGCTAATATCACTCCGGCATGCTTCATTCTTGTAGAGGTCTGTCTGTGTGGCAGATGGTAAGAAGATGTGACAGAGCATGATGGAAGCAAAGAGAGAGAGGAAAATGAAGGTTATCCCGAGGGTGATGGGAAGGATGAGGAGAGGATCAAAACTGAAGACAGGGACAATATTGGAGGACATAAACACTGAAGGATGAGACGGAGGGAGTAACAGAGAAGGAAACACTGAGGCAACTAAACCATGTGCACACAATTCAAGGACCAGAACTCAAACTGTACAATAAGAACTAAAACGAATGCTCAAAATTAAAATTAAAAAACATGACCTTCGAGACACTAGAGCAACAAGGA